AGCCTTCTACTGAAGAAATTAGAAACAACGTCTTTTTCCTTAACTTGAAGATTTCTCTCTCTGTCTTTTTGTGACACAAAAATGCTGATGAAATCAGGAATCAAACGTTGAAACTTGCATTTCAAGAACATTTTACTTTAGCGATTTTCTTTTAAACGAACTTTTGATCCAGCGGTCGTTTCGATGACTTGCGCGTCGCGGTAGCACGGTTTGAAGGCGCCGTTGCCCAAAGTTATCATCGCTTTTTGGGTATCTGCCATGGGGAAAAGTGATAATCAAAAGAAATTTCGAAAGAAACAAAAAAACCGAAAATAATTAGAGGAGTGCTCGCTCAAATGGAAAAATAAATTTATGATCGTTATACTGGCGCGTAAAAACTGACCCATTTGAGAAATTCTTCAACAAGAATTGCTTTTACTTTTTTAAGTTAAAGTTTTCACCTTGTTTTAAACTATAATATCTGACAAGACCTTCTCCATTTTTTGTGGGAATGAACCCTGGTGCTACCCAAAGAACTTCATTGAAGAATTTGATAAAAAATTGATACTTTCAATCCATACTTAAAAAAACCAGTGCGAAACGACCACACAAAAAATCGAAGAAGAAAATAGATAAGGCCATTTGAGCCGGTCAATTTTTTGGTCAATATCTGACAAATCCTTGCTTTTAAGAATATCCTTCTTTTATAAATCGTAATTTTTTGCTTTACTTTGAAACATTTTGTCATTGTAAGATAAAAACTGGTCTAAACTGGTCTAAACTGGTAAAAACTGGTTTTTCTTTGGAAAATCGATTTTCTAAGGGTTACGGTAAGTCTGGGTAAATAAGTTTTGGTGTTGTCTGCGAGAGAGAGGGACAAATCGAAAAATGATCAATCAAGGATTTATGAAATGAATGAACAAAACACGAGATTAGAAAGTCAATAAAGTGATGGGTAAAATTTGAAATCCAAATGTAACACCGGAATTAAACGAAATATCCTTCTTCAAGCCATTTACCCTAACCTTGAAACTTGTATTTTATTTTTGGAGTAAAGGCGTCGACCTCTTAACCAAAAACTATTTCTCAAAGCTTTAGGACCACTCAACATGAATCAACAAGATGAAATAAAAAAGTTGAATTTAAAGTTTGGGCTTCAATAACCTAATTTTGAGTTTTAACAAGGTAACCCTCCAAATATGTACAGTAAAGACGCGTTTTTAGAACTTCAAAACTCGATAAAATTCAGAACAAACCTTTACACAAAAATACTATTTCTGATCAGCGCTATCAACTACCTCACTAAAATTGAAAAGGTCAAAAATATGGGTGGCTCCCCCTCTCAGAAATCGTAAAAAGGATTGCCATAACGAATCCCCTGTGTTGGAAAACCCCACCATGCAAATTTCAGCGTGAAGTCCAAATTGCTTTTAACTTTTAAACTTTTAAAACTCACCACGGATGTCCTATCAGGATTCAACTTTTTATAGCTGTTTATTTATTTTTCAAATAGACGCTTCAAATAAGGAAACGGGTGAATTTGTTGAATTGGGGCAAGTAGAAAACGAGAGAATTCGGGAGTTTCGTCACCGGCTCGTAGATCGGATAGTTCTGTGAAAGATTGATTGAAGGCTTCAAATTCCATCCAAATTCTTTTCTTTCATTCCTTTATTTGCTATGGCTGTAGGCTTTGTAGTAAGTTTAAGTAAATGAGTTGGGTATTTAAAGATATTCAGCTGAACACCTTTTATTGCGTGTTTAGCCTGTTGTTTGTTTTCTTGTTTTCCCCTCGAAAAACGAGTTTTTCTCTTGAAATTGTGAAAATTTCCCAATAAAATCGCAAATATTTCATAGTAAACATTTAAAAAATGATTCCATCTTTTTTGCTTGCTGTCTTTGCTATTTAATTGGACGAGCAAATTTCCCCTTGACTTCAGTAAATTTGAAACAAAACTTTTTTGGCGATCAAATACTTTTTGATAGAATTGGTCAAAATTGGGTAAAATCGGCATTCTTATGCAATCAAAATTGAAATTTAACAAATCCTTTTCAGACACTTTCAGAATCTGAGGGAAGATGGGGATCCTCGAGATTTCATGGAGGCCTATTTGCGGGAAATGCGGCGACAACCCGAGAATCCGCATTTCAAGTGAGATTTCGCTGAAAATCGGCTTTTGAGGTTATTATTGTTAAACCTTTTCAAATTCAAACCTTCAAAATGAGTGCAGTGATTAAATTTTGTGGCTTGATCGTCTTTTGAATTAAGTAAAATCACTTTATCCATCCATCACTTTATTGTGCTTTATTGTGCAACACTTTATTGTGCAACAAAAACAAAAATTGTTATCAAGAATCACTGTTACGCAAGCATGTTAACGCAGGCTCCATTCCGAAATTTAGGCTTGCTTGTGCAAAAAGATCAACAAGTCTCTACAGTCATTTCTGTTTTGGCAAGCAAGCAAGCCACTAGAATAGACCAATCTTCGGACCGAGAGTTGATCGGTCCGCGGGACAATATAAAAGAGCGCTGTTCAAAAGAGCGCCATTCAAAAGAGCGCCATTCAAAAGAGCGCCATTCAAAAGAGCGCCATTCAAAAGAGCGCTGTTCAAAAGAGCTCGGCTAGATTTTTGTTCTTAAGACGTTCTAAAAGCTCTGCCCTCATCGATTTTAAATATTGCTATCATTTTTGTTATTTTATTAAATTGTTGAATGGATTCATTAAAAATTGAAATCAATGCAGAAACTTTAAAGAAAAGATAACAAGAAAAAAGGTTGCATTGAATAAGATTTAAGGCTTGGCATCCTTTTGATTACAAGCATGTATGACTGTGAGCATCGAGGGAACGATCGTTTGTCGGGCACATGGACTTTTGGGCCCGACGTTACATGTTTGTTTGTGAGTGCTTTGAGAAGTTATCAAAGAGAAAAAACCTTTCTTAAAACCTTCTTTGCTATTTGCAAAGTAAGGCAACAATCTGAAGGCTAGAAAAGCCTTACCTTATGCAGAAAATTGAAACCCAACTTATCAAGTTGTAAAATTTTTTGAAAATGGTAATTTTCACGTTGAACATCACTCAAACCAAAGAAATGAGGTTAACATTTGTTTTTTTTTCAATTATCTGCATACCAAATTAAAAACTGAAATCTGAAATCTGAAAATCAAACTGAAATCTCTAGTTTCAATTGTTCAATTGTTCAATTGGTTCCAATCCAAAGTAGGACTTTATTCGGCAATGTTATGGCGATTAGTTCTACCAAAAATTTCCAGTTCTTTCCTGTGCAATTCGCATGCACCGAAGGTGGTCCCACGTGTTGAGAGAGGGATTCGGGAAATCGAATCATTTTTTCATTTTTCCTCTTTCTTTGCTTACAAAATCATTTGGTCAAATCAAATTTGCATATGACTATACGGTATAAGTATAGTCGAAAATAATATGTCTTCAATTTTCTGCATAACGTAATGGGGTTTTCTATAACTTACTCAGATTGTTGCCTTACTTTGCAAATAGCAAAGAAGGTTTTAAGAAAGGTTTTTTTTCTTTGATAACTTCTCAAATCACTCACAAACAAACATGTAACGTCGGGTCCAAAAGTCCATCTGCCCGTTGCGTCACAAACGATCGTTCCCTCGATGGTCACAGTCATACATGCTTGCCCGAAAGCAAACCACGTGCCGCCCTGAAATTCGGCATTCGATTTTATAAGCTTTTTTTTAAACATCGCGTTGAGTAGACATTTATGACCTGGCTACCGTAACCCGACTCAATCAGGGTATTTTAACACGACTCAGATATTTGGTAAGGCAACTACGGTGATACGTCCTGAAAACTAAAGCATGGTCCGGCTACCTTAATGCGCAAACTAGATCGTAGTGGTGCGGTAACAGCAAAAAAAACTACCATGCGCATCTTGCTGAACTGGGAACGATATCAAATGAGCGCCGTAATCAAAAGGATGCCAAGCCTTAAATCTTATTCAATGCAACCACGAACTGCGTTTTAACCTTTTTTGTTTGTTTTCTTTTTTCTTTTAAGCTCCTGTATTATTTCAAATATTTATAATGAATTCTTTTAACAATAATAGAATAACAAAAATGATAACAGCATTTTAAATCGATGAATGTAAAAGGACAGAGCTTTAATAACATCTGAAGAACGAAAATCTAGCCGAGCTCTTTTGAACAGCGCTCTTTTGAACAGCGCTCTTTTGAATGGCGCTCTTTTGAATGGCGCTCTTTTGAATGGCGCTCTTTGGAATGGCGCTCTTTTGAACAGCGCTCTTTTTATATTGTCCCGCGGACCGATCAACTCTCGGTCCGAAGATTGGTCTATTCTAGTGGCTTGCTTGCTTGCCAAAACAGAAATGACTGTAGAGACTTGTTGATCTTTTTGAGAGCCTCAAGTTAGGAATGGAACCTGCGGACCGGTTCGTTAACATGCTTGCGTAACAGTGACTAACAAGGAGAGGTAATGTACTCTGCAATCTATAATAACTAGACTAATTACCCATAATTTCTTCTCTTTCTTCCTTTCTCTTCCCCTTCTTCTTTCTTCCTTACCGGATACCAGATAGCTCAGTGGTTGTCTGAAAAGCAAAAAGTCGAGGGTTCAATCTTTCTCTGCCATTCCTTACTTTATAATAGATATTTATAAGATGGATAGGTGCTGGATGAGTTAAACTTACAATGTTCGCTTCGGCGAGATGTTGCCGGCGGGAGATGTACAGGTGAGCATCGTATTTCGGCAACCATTTGCGTCGGTGCTGCAAAATAACGAGAGTTTCTGCTTTCCTCGAGTAAAAAATGCTATTTAGTCAACCACTTTGGTCATGAACAAATTGAAAGATCTTGCCAATGCAGCTTTTGAAGCCAATGCAGCCAATGCAGCCAAGCAAGCTTTTGAAAAATGAAATTTATTCCTTGTTTTTTTGATTTATTCTTTCTGGGGAATATTTGGAAACAATGAAAAAGTTGGAACTAAATTTTCTCTCCCTCGTTTAATCCGGTTACTTTTGAAACTCACGTGTAGGTGAACGTGCCGGTTTCTTGAACCCCGCCTGTGTCATCGGGCACAATGGCGAGGTCGGCACAACTTGCACAAAGCACTGAAATGATTAATAGGGGAAAAAGGAAAAATTTACGAAATTCGAAGAGAAACATTTAGATCTCAATGATTAAAAGAAAGCCGAATAAGTTGAAACTAATCATTTTCAAAGAATTGTTATCAATTCACGTACAGGTGTTCATTGTTGCAGTTGTTGTAGTGGTTGTTGTCGTTGTTGTTGTAGTGGTGGTTCTTAAAGGTTTTAATATAAATAGATTCCAGCTAAAGAAAGCTAAAGAAATCATTTTTCAAAGCTGGTTTTCTCTTTGTTTTAGTTGATTGACGAATTTCATTTTCAACTTCAGTCAAAAATTTTGAAACTTGAAAATTTCATTTTTTTTACTCACGTTGTTGTCGTTGTTGCGTTGTGGTGGTGGTTCTAAAAAATGTTCTTTAAATGTAAATGTAAATGAATAGCAGCAGTTTATTACAGTCTAGTAGCTGAAGCTAAAGTTTTAAAGCTTGGAATTGCACTAAAGTCGACGATTTCATTTACAAAGTTCTTTGAAACAGAAATTTTGAAAAGTAAAGGATCCAAAAAGGCAAATTAGCTAGTCAATTGCTGAAACATTGCTGAAACGAGGATAAACTTTGAAGAGTCAAAATTTAACCAATAACGAACCCAATAAAGAGCCCAATGAAGAACCCAATAACGACGTACTACAACGTACACCTTGTTTCAATGCAACTAAACTTTACAGAGTAATTGCTAAAGTCAAAACTATCAAACTGACTCTTGCTAAAAGTATCATAAGCTTGAATTTAAAATTTGAACAAAAAAAATTACGTTGTGGTGGTTGTCGTAGTCGTAGTCGTTGTTGTACTGAAATTTCTCAACTTTGATCTCCATTTTTATCTTAAAACTCTGTCAAAAGGATTCATTTTCACATTGTCTCATTTAATCCCTGCAAATTGAAAAATTGGGTTGGAAAATGGGTGTGAAACCCTTTGCCACATGGTTAAAAACTTGCTATTAGTGAACTTAAAACTTGCTATTAGTGTCAGTTTTCACAGCAAATTAATGCAGTCAGTTCTGTTAGTGCAAAAGCGTCAGCCTCAACCAGTTCAACGCAGACAAAAGAGACATTACGTTATTGTTACAGATAGATATAGCTAAAAGATTTAAACTTAGGTCATCCTTTTCTTTTTAAGTCATTCTGTAATTGAACAGAGCCTACATTTATTGTGTTCTGCTAGTGCAAAAGAGTCAGTCTCAACCCGCTCACAGCAAAGCTTTCAATGACACTTTATGTGTCGTGTCGCCGTCGCTGTAGTTGTTGTTGTGGTAGTGGTTGTGGTAGTGGTCGTTGTTGTAGTCGTTGTTGTGGTGGTCGTTGTAGTGGTGGTCGTTGTTTTTGTTGTGGTCGTGGTCGTTGTAGTTGTCGTAGTAGTCATAGTTGTGGTCGTTGTTGTTGTAGTTGTTGTTGTCGTCGTCGTCGTTGTAGTGGTAGTTGTCCTAAACCACAGCAATCAGCGCAGCACAAAAAGCAAACAGATATATAAGTTGTTACTAATTGTAAAGAACAAGTCGTTGATTGGTCCCAGTTGAATCCCTATGACCTACTTTTGAAACATACAAATCGCAAAGCAGTGTTTACTATTAGAATTAGTGTAATTTTGCTCTCCGTCTCTGTTAGTTCCAACATAAAAGTGAAAATTTGAATTTACACTGTCTGTGCAGTGGTTGTAGTGGTTGTAGTTGTTGTTGTGGTTGTTGTTGTCGTTGTCCTAAACCACTGCAATTAGTATAAAAGCAACAAAAAAATGAGTTAAAAGTGCGTCAGATGCCAAAGAGTTAGCACCGTTTGAACGGTTAGCGACGAAAAAAGGGAAAAATTTTGAAATTACTCTGTTGCGGTGGTCGTTGTTGTCCTGTAACAAGCAAAAATGAGCAAATATTGAGGTGATTAGGTGACTGTTTACTCTACATATAATTAGAGTTAGGAAATTGATTACCTATAATAGATACCTGTAATAGTGACGCTCATACTGAATATCTTAATGCCTAAGAGAAATCTCAAGAAATTCAGCTTTTTGCTTTTTATTATTATTTTTATTAGCTTTTATTATTTTTATTAAGTTCAATTTATTTTCAAAACCAGTTACAACCTTGAATAGTTCAAGTACAAGCATTCAGCTTCAGCTAAGATTTTTGTGTTTCAAAGTACTGTAAGAGAAATGCGCGATTTTGTTTTTAGTGGACTGGGCAAATATAGCAAATGATGATGAGAACAATATGATTCAGTGTTTCAAGACCGACGGCGCTATTTCAAATGGACTACAGTGGCTAAAAGACATTTAAATGGAGAAAGAAATGAATGATCTTCTGGTGCCACTTCAATCAACAGGACTTTGAGAATTCTGAGAAGAAAATGACGAATTTATTGCTTTTAAGTTCTCAAAGGTGAAACACCGAGTTTGCAATTCTAAAAGCCTTTAACTTGAAAATCAGGATTTCACAGCAAACCGAGATTGATATAGAACTGTTAGAGAAGCTCAAAGACTAGGATTCAAATTAGCACTTTAAAGGGGCTTGCCTTTCTTTAAAGGGGCTTGCCTTTCTTTTCGAAGTTCTCTCAAAGTTGCCTTTCTTTTCAAAGTTCTTTCAAAGTTGCCTTGCCTTTTCACCTTTCATTTATCTATTATTCGATGCGTTTTAGCCTTCTCTACAACTATTTTCTATATGAAAAACAAGGTTTCCAATCGAGAAATGAAGAAAAACGTAATTTTTCGTAATTTTTGCTTTCCACATCACTCTAAAACGCGAATATTTGAACGAAAAGTCTCGTTTCGTCCAATTGCATTTTACCACTTGCGTTCTTTTCTTTTGCATATATTTTCTCAAATTTAACAGCAATCTTCAATATTTTTTTTTTTTTTTTTAAATAGAAAACATTACATTCTAAAAGAATAGTTTAAAAAAGTAAAAATCGGACTTAAGAAGACGTGAAAAATAAGTGTCCAATTTCAGATTTCAATTGACTTTTCTTAGGCCAGAGTATCCCTTTAAGCATCCTCAAGCTTCCTGTATTTAAAAATTTTTGTTTTTAAGATAAAGCATGAGAAAAGAACTCTAGTTACAGTACATCAAAAAGGACACAAAGCACATCACAAAGGACGTGAGTAGAAGTTTCAACATTAATGAGACTAGTTGAAAGTGGAAACCTTCAATAAAAGCATCGTGAAAATTGCTAGATTATTGCTAGATGCTAGAAAATTGCTAGATTTGTGAATTGCTCGCGCGATTTCTCGAAGCTTTAGTTGAGAATTGTAAATTTGCTTCTTGCTCTTTTGACTTTCAAATAATCCGCTTTCTCAAACCGTCCCTCTTGTCCTCTCTTTTCCCTTTCCACCGTAATATTGTCTCTATTTTTCATCAAATCTATCGACTTTTTCTATCTTTCTATATCCTTTATGAACCCTCAAACAGAATAAAAAAAATGAATAGATTGGATAAAATAGATAAGAAGATTACGGTAGAAAAAGGGACACGTTCTACTGCAAACGGATTACCGTATTCTCTCTAAGTAGTAGTTCACCCTAAGCGTTGCCGAAATTCCCTCGAAATCTCGGAAAACAGAAAAACAGAATCAGAAACAATAGAGACAAAGGATTAAGGTAGAAAAGAGCGTTTCTTTTCCTTTACCGTTGATGCATTAAATTGACAGTGAATACTGATTTATAAGAGAAACAACTGGTTGAGCCGGGCCTTTTATGCGACCAATTCAAAGCAGAATCTTTATGCTCATTTCAAATCTCGGAAAACAGAAAAACAGAAAAACAGAAAAACGAATTTTGCATATGGGAACTCCGAGTTTCAAATCAATCAACTTCCTGGGTGACTTTTTGTGATTTAATCCCCTCTTTAAACTATAAAAATAATTCTTATCCAAAAGAAAATATTGAAGTTTTTTAAGGGTATAAAGCTTAGCTTTTTTTTCGAATTTTTGTATTTTTGAAACTCACGACGTTGGTATGCAGGTGTCGACGAGCGCCACCGCCACGGCAAAGAGAGCGATTTGGAAGAGAAATGCATTCATTCACGAGTAATTTCCTGGAAATGATCATAGCTTGTACTTTTGAAAAAACAGGAAATAGAAAAATCACAATTGAGTATATTGAAACAAGAAAATGTCAACTTTTGATAAATCTCATTTTCGAATACAATACAGCAAGTTTTGCACTTGTGCAAATTCAACAAAAGACTATGAAATCCGAAATCTTTCGATTTCGTTGTAGTCAACTGTGACTACATTGAAACATAGCTTTCGCTTGAGAGTGAAAAACCTCATTCGTTTGAAAAGCTCATTTGTTTGATCAAAGAGAACAGGATTAGAGCACTTCTTCATCCCGAAACACGCCAATTTTCCTCTTTGAAAGAAGAAATTGGAAAAAAAACCTAAAAGTTACTGCTTTAATAAAGTATCCTATGAAGAAGCCTTCAAAATTGAATGAAAATGTCGAAAATGAAAAAGAAACGTTTAAAAAACATTAAGGGAAAGGGCCTGTTGGAAAGCATTAAATTTGAAACATTGCAATTAACCGGCCAAACATTGAAACATGAAAATTTCAAATAAATTACTGACGGTAAATTTGAAAACCCATTAAAAATACGTTAAATCTAAATGTTTTGAAGCACTCAGAAAAGTCAGAAAACCCAAAAGTGACTGCAAAAAGACTGAAACAGGAAATCTCGCATTGCTCCAAATAAAGTGGCATTAAGCGGAAAAGTCTAAATTTTATCATAGATAAGTTGAAACATAACTATTTGAAATTTGAAAATTTTATGAATTTTATGAATTTTTGACTTTTGACCAGCTGTAGATGTCCTACTTTTGAATGAAACTGACTACTCCACTAAAAAGAGAATAGCGCATTTCACTTGAAATACTTTGAAACACAAAAACCCTAGCTGAAACAGAATGTTTGTACTACAACTATTCAAGGTTGTAACTGGTTTTGAAAACAAATTGAACTTAATAATAGCGTCTAGATTGACTTTTAGCCCTATATCTACTATTTAGAGGATTCTATTTTATGTTTAGATTCTGAAGGAGTTGAAAGAAAGAGTTGAAAAAATTGAAAATTTCAGCTATGGGAATATTCGGTCAACTTACGGAAAGAATGCATTCATTAAAGTAGAAAATCCAAAATTTAGCTTAAATACATTGAAACATTCAATTCTTTGTTACGATGAACTTTGAAAAGCTTATGTTCCAAAGCAAGGGGGAATTCTTAAGCATTTTTTCGAAAAGCCAGAAAAATCTTGAAGTTGCAAAGGTGAAGATTCAACAAAAGATTCAACAAAAATTCAACAAAAGACTATGAAATCCGAAATTCATTCCTAGCTAGGTTCCCTAGCTAGGAATGGATACTTTTATGCTCTCAAATCTCGTGTGTGATACGATTGTCAACTGATTATTGTAATTTTGATAGTTTAATTTCTAAAAGTTATATGTTGGGTTGGATTTATCGGATTTCTTGGATTGAGGAGGAATCGGGACCTAGCTAGGAATGGATACTTTTATGCTCGATCTCAACATCCCTTTCTGGTGCACACATTTCTTCCATTTTCCTCTCGTGAAACCGGTTGCTGTAAGAGGAAAATTGAAGAGATGAGCGCGCCAGAAAGGGGGTGTTTTGAGGGATTTCAGAGAGCACAAAGCACAAGCGTGAAACAAGTGCTTGCAACCTGTCAAAAACCTAGTTTTAAGTTGAGTCGAATCAATTTTTAGGAATAGATTTTAGTAGGTAAAACATAACTTTTATATAACAAACATAACAAATATAGTAAATATACAAATAATAATTTTTAGGAATAGATTTTAGTAGGTCCATCCCTAGTGAAGATCCAAGCTTCTTTCTCTACTTACTGTAGGTGTACTCGAAAGTCGCTTGCACTTTTCCTTGTCTCGAATAAACCATTAACGGGATTTCGTTGCCTCTAGAGATGAGTCGCCGCAATTGTGATTCAGTACAGCAAAATCTGAAAGGTTTATGAAGTTGGGTTTCAAGTTGATCGGCTTGAGCATGGTAAATTAAATGATAATCATTTGGCTCAACGAAAGAGTTCACAATTTCTGCTCCGGATCAGCCAAAGTCTGAAGTTTAATTTTGGCAGCTGATTTAAATCTAATCAATAAAAACCAAACGAAATAATAGAATCTGAAAGGTTTAAGAAATTCGGCCGCGAGATGGGCAAGTTCTGAGTGAGTAAGTTGAATGTTAATTTTGTTCGTAAACAAAGATTCGCCTGAATCATCAAAAGAATTATAGGAGCAATAGTAATTGAATACACTTGGTGTTGGCTTCAAGGCACAGAAATCAAAGGCTTCAAGATTTTCATAACGAAAAGTTTGAAGTTTCAAAGTTGACGCTCCACATTGCAAGTCAGTTTTTAATGAAGGTTTGATAGGATTCACTCAGAATGAGTTACTAAAGTTTTTGGAACTTTTTTCTGGATTCTGAAAATGAAATTACTATTTACTCACCTGTATCCGACGGGTATGTTTCAATCCCGTTCACGTAGCATCCCTCGATGCATTTTCCGCTTAAACGCAGCAAACAAGCAGATCCTTTTTTAAGGTTGTCCCCAATTAGTTCTAGCTTACCTACAAAGATCCTTCAAAACCAAAGGGCCTTGTTC